CGAAGTGACCCCTGAATTTGGATCCTTTGTATTGTATTTCTGCCTTGGGCACTGGGCCCTATTAAAAAAAAAAAAAAAAAAAAAAAAGAGAAAATGTGGGATGATAGGACGAGGATATATAGTATACTAGGCTACCAGAGTGGCCCGGGTCCACTTGCCCGGACGGGCCAAAAATAAATAAATAAATAAAAATGACTTTTTATTTAAATGTGGTAAAGAACTTCGATTTGACCCTGAGGCAAAAGTTGTTCAGTTTATTTTTCTGCATAACATATTTGTTTTTCGGATTTTTTGGATTTTTTACTTGTTTTATTTTTTTGGCTGGGACCTTCCCTAGTCCTTGCACGGCCGGGCCGCCATAGGGTGACCCGGGCGGCCCGGCTGGTAGCCTAGATATATATATATTTTTTAAATTATCCTATATATTTTTCTAGTCCCAAATTTGACATCTTTCTCCTCCCAGATTCTACATCTATCTCGTCCCAGATTCTCTATCTGCTGACCAGGTGCAGACACTCCTGCGCACGTGTTGATCCAAGCAGAGACAGGCAATCTAACGGTGCATCTTTCCACGTTCTAACGACAGATTCATTCTCAGCGACTTGGGGCTTCGGGGCAGCAGGCACCAAACATGCAAAATGAGAATGAATCGGCCGTTAGAACATGGAAAGATGCACAGCCATAATTTTTGTCTTTAGTACGTTCGCTGAATGCTGCCGCGAGGCACTTTGATTAACAATGGTAGTTATGGGTGTGAAAGTTTCTTATTTTTAAAAATAAAAATAATAATAAAAATAATATAAAAAAAAATGAAAAAACGTTTTACTACCAACAAACGAGGAGGCCGGGAATTTCTCCACACGCAACCCGGAAAAAAAAAAACTGAGAACATTCTGGGCGTGAGAGTTTTTTTTTTTTTTAACCAAAAAACAGCAGACCAAAACAACAGCTGTGGGAGTTTCTATATGGAAAAAAAAAAAAAAAAAAAGTTTCTATATGGCATATTTCTCAGAGTTTCAGGCTTGTGCCACCTCCTCCTCTCTTTCCTCTGTCTCGCTCTAGTATAGATGTTTTTCATTAAATTTGATTAAATTTACTACCTAGGCTTGCCCGGCCGTCGCCGGCAGGTCAACTGCACGGGGCACCCCGTCCAGGCAAAAACCCAGGCCGTCTTTTTTTTTCTGCCCGGGGGGAAGGAGGGGGCGGGAGGTTCTCCGCGGATGAGCCCAAATCTGGGCTCCTTTCTCTTTCCGAGGATCGGCTGTCAATTTCTTTTTTTGGAGNGGGGGGTTATAAAATAATTTCGAAAGGGCTGAAGTGATTTAAAAAGGGGGTGCCTTAGTCTGATTCTATAGTTTTCTTTATCTTCAACGCCGTGAGAAATTCTGATATGACCCTCAGCCAAAAGTCGTTTATATTACAATTCACAACATCTTTTTTCAAAAAAGAAAATGAAATTCTTTTTTTTTTTTGTTGGGGGGGGAGGTCCTGGGGCTGCCTGGAACCCGGGGTTCGTGCCCGGCCGGGCACCGGGGCGTGTACCCGGGCACAAGTTGGGTGGCCAGGCGCCCAGACAAACAGCCTACGTAGTCCATTTTAATTAATTAGTAATAATAATGGGATAGGAAAGGGGAGAAGGAAGAATGAGGACGACAAAAAAAAAAAAAAAAAAAAAACGAATGAGGACGACGAGGAGGACGAAGAAGCGAAGTCAGAGTCGCGACGGACTCGTTCGTGAACCTGGACTATATCTAATCCAGGTGCATCCTGATAATGGGGTAGAGTCGGAAATTGTGCAATGTTGGCGGTGATCCTAAAGTCTTCCCCCGAATACAACGCACTGTCATTATTGCTGAATTTGGTGTATCTTTCGGTCTAAAATCAGATATAGTGACCGTACGTTGTATTCGGTGGAAGACTGTAGCCGAATGCAATTTGACGAACACGGACATCAATCATCGTGCACCTGGACTCTATCTAATCCAGGTGCATCCTGAAAGAGGCAATACGGTCATCGCATACATACACTCCCACGCATATGAACAAGGGCATAGTCCCTGTACATTGTGACAGGTGCACTACAGCCATTGCATGCACCTAGATAGTAAATAGTCCAGGTGCAATTCTGGCAGGGCCACTACGGTCATGGCACACTCCCATGCATCTGAACAAGAAAACAGTTCAGGTACATTTGACAGGAGAAGCGCATTTAGGTCATTTCACGAAATGAGAACCGTGGAGAGAAAACCTGAGACGAAGGAGACGAATTTCATAACGAATTATGACATTTCCTTTTTTCAATTTTGAATTTTTTCAATTTTGTTCAAATTTTTACTCTTCAATTTTCCTATTTTTTACTTCAAATTTCACACTTCGAATATTTATTTTTTTAGTTCAAATAAATTATTCGATCAGGCATCACCACACGCTCTTCCAGACATCCGACAGGAAAGAGTCCCACGAATGATCATTGAAGTTTCATGGACAGAACCGAACGCAGAGAGACGAATTTCATAACGGATTATTACATTTCCTTTTTTCAATTTTGATTTTTTTTTAATTTTGATCGAATTTTTACCGTTCAATTTTCCTTCGATTTTTTACTTCAATTTTCACACTTCGAATATTTACTTTTTTATTTTTCAAATAAGTTATTCGGTCAGGCATCACCACAAGCTGTTCCACACATCCGACAGGAAAGAGTCCCACGAATGATCATTGAAGTTTCTTGCACAGAACCGAACGCACAGAGAGAGAGAAAGGCAAACAGAGAAGGGAAAAGACAACTACCCCGGGGGGGAGGGAGGGGGGAAACAATGCCCAGAGCCACTGAAGAAACCCAAAAAAAAAAGAAAAAGAAAAAAAAAAAGGGCAACATAACCCGAGCGCAGCTCAGAGAAACAGCATTAAAACAATAAAAATAAAAAGAGCATATGCATTAACACAGAAGGGTCAAGAACAGAGATGGAAGGCGGGAGGAAAAAGGGCAAGGAAAAGAGGTACCTGAAAGGGTCTCGCTCCACTACTCTTGAAATGTGAAAATCAAGAGTGAATATTCCGCTCGAATATGGAAAGATACATCGCCATTATTTTTGTCTTTTGTGCACGATGAGAGTAGCGGACCGAGGCCCAAAATCTCCTTTCACACAATGGAGTAGAAACCTACGCGCCCTACGCGCCCTGCCCTGACACACGTGTTCCCAGCGCATACCTCCACACAAGGACAGACGGACCGCCTCCACACAAGGACAGATGGGCCGGCTAAGGGGAGCGGGGGGGGCGGGGGGG